TAAAGTTTTTGAAATCTCTAGAATTTTAGACACCACTAGTGGATTTAGGTGGACACATGATGTGGATGGCTAAAAATTCCAGGACTGTTTCCTTAGGTACATAGCTGGGGAGCCAATGTAGAGAACAAGGATTGACTAGTTTTAAGATGAGCAGAGCACCTTAGGGCTTTCTCATGATGTAACAGCAAATTGGAAATCATTTTTGGAGAAAAAATTAAGCAGTGATACCCTCAATCAACTCTGTGACTGCTAAAGTAACTGGTGAAAAATTATCTGATACTTTGTTAATTACCTTCACTCTTTCCCAGTAAGATAGAATCATTAATTAGGTGGAAGTATTTTCCTGAATTGCTCTTGGTCTTGGCTCTTTCTTGGACTTGTTAAAGACCACCTTGCTTACCTTACAGACAATTTCTTATAATCCCTTAGAGAATTACAGTAATCCTCCTGCCCCTAGCACCGCCCCCCCAAAAAAAACCTCCAGAAAAACAAGAAAGAAAAAAAAGAAGAAAAATAAAATTTCCCTATTATCAAAAAATAAGCAGGATTTTGTAATAAAAGATGTCTTTGATGTTACACGAATGCATTTAAAATTATGGGAAGAAGTCTTTCCAAGCTCAAAATTATCTGGTTTCTATGTAATTATGCTCTTAGTAAGGTTGATTTGAACATCCTAAACAGTGGTATTAGAGGAAGCGTCTCTAAGAATTATTCTTAATTGCATAGCGACCATTATTCATTGACAATTGATTTATCAGAAACCTATTACATTTAAGGCTTTTGATTGGTTCTGGGAGAGAATACAAATATAAATAAGACACAGTTTCTGCTTTAATCTGGAAATATTTTTAGCTTAACTGATGCAGCAAATGAATCTCATTTTTTCCTTTTGAAGGGTTTTAAAATCACTACTTGAGATGATATCAGAAACATATTGAAACACATAGTTATTCAGCACCTAGTATGTGCAAAGCACTGTGCTAGTTTGGGTCTTCATAAAGGATTGAGATTTCACCTTTGCTGTAGACAGACAGACTCAAGCAGACTGGAATGAGAATAAAGTAAAGGCATAAAATGGTACTGCAGGAATGTAGCTTAGAAGCTACTCATGAACACAACAGGAATTATAGGTATTGCATATTATTGACCAGATATAAAATTCCACATTTACTTGAATAATTGTTTATTATTTTATGACATAGTATAATATTGTAAAGCTAGAACATATTTTGGAGGTTAATACAAGAGAGTTAGCATTCTGATTTTGGCATACAGTATTTAGCCTCTGTGAGCTCAGTTTCCAGATACAAAGAATTCTTATGATAATAGCACTGTAAAGCATATTGTGAGGATTTAAAAAATTAATATATGAGAAGAGATTCATATAATAGATCTTTAATGAATAATAATTGTTATCTCTCTGCTTATTGTACTTTGGGGGAAAAAATCCTATTCCTTATCCTCTGTGAGCAGTTGCACATAGAGGTGCTCCTTGATCTGTTCACTCTTTATCTCCATTGCCACCTCCCTGTCCAGGCCACCATCATCTATCAACTTGCCTAGAGTAGGAGCTGTTCTGCTCTTGCCGCTCTATAATTATTGACCATTCAACTGCCAGCATGATTTTGTAAAAAATATAATTCAGTCATGATCTCTCAGTGATTATGGGATACAAATGAAACTTCTTATAATAGCCTACAAGAAAAGTGAGAGCTAAGCTGATATCAGAGGAAGAAACCCAGGGAGAAAATATGGGGACGGGGGGGGGTGGTGTTTAACCTCTGTATTCCTTTCCTAGGGCTACCATGACACCATACCACAGACTAAGTGGCTTAAACAATGGAAAGTTTACTTTTTCACAGTTCTGGAGTCAGTAAGGTTGTTTTCTTCTAAACCCTCTTTCCTTGCCTTAGAAGTGGCATCTGTTTCCTATGTCTTTACATGTCTTCCAGATACCAGCCATATTGGATTAGGGCCCAGCCTGGTGACCTAATTTTAATGCAATTATCTCTTTAAAGTCCTTATCTCCAAATTATGGTCACATTTCAAGGAACTGAGAGTTAGGACTTCAACGTGTGAATATGAGAGTAACATAATTTAGCTTGTAACAACCCTATCTTTCACTGACATTTCTGCAAGTTCTCTTCATGTAATTTTAACAACATTCACTATGACATTCGTATGAGCTCAGGAGTAGCTGATCTGCTGCACCTGGGCTTTTATTCTCTCTTTGTAGCTTTAATTTCTTGTCATTCTTTTCCTTCTTTGCTTTGCTTCAGCCTCACTGGCCTCTTTTCTTGTCCTTGAATACACCAAGACCTCTCCCACCTCTTAGGTTTGTTTCTTGTCTGTCTTTCCACCTGGATCCAGTGCTCTCAGTTCTTCCAATGGCTCATGCTTATCCTATAGGTCTTGGGTTAAAACTCACTGCTTTGAAGAAGCAGCACTGTAGGCAAATCTATAGTCATCTTCCCAGGCTCTCTCTCACCAGCCTGTTACCCACTCTCCCCTTAGAAATAATAGAATTTTGCTATTTGTTTCTTTACTATTTATACATGACTCCTCCCTGGTAGTGTGTTAAGTGTTTAGGGCTGGGAAAATCTGATCAGTCTTGTTTACCATTAGAGTGTCAGGGCCTGACATAGCTAGGCCTGTTTTTTGAATCAGTGTCCAAATGAATTTCCTTTATTAATCATATGCTTTTTGGATCTCACTCAGTCTCAAAGATACATGCAGTCATATAAAGCAAATACTGCATAATGTCACAAACAAACACTAAGTTTATAATTCTGAACACAAAATATTTTTCAAGAACCATTGAAAAAGTAGTATGTTACATAAGAGTTTGGAGACACCCATTAGTATCGTGGAATGATTATAACCACAAGAATTTGCATATGCACACCTTACAACAAATTAATAATAAAAATATTGACCTAGTTTTCATTCTCCTAGACTTCCCTCACTCTTTTGGAAATATCTATAATATTAATGTGTTATAGGATACAGTTTTATAAACATCATTCTAGAAAACAGAACAGTATCTGTAAACCAGAGTTAAACTGAACAACCTGACCTAGGAACTTAGAGATGCAGATTGTCAGGCCCCACCTTACACCTACTAAAACTGATCTTTGAAGTAGTTTTTGGTTTCTCAGAAATCTTGTCAAATAGTCCATTTTTCAGGACATAATCAATCTTAATTGTTTGAAACCTCTTGCCCTTTACCCTGCCCTGCAATGACATGGTATTTCTGCTGTTCAACACTTTTGCAGTTGTCTTTAAGGAATTACAGTGATTTCTCCAACTTTTGAAACTGTTTAAGTGAAATTGCTATATCCTAGCATTCAACGTACATTACTTGCTTCCTGAATTACCTATTTGGCTTTAATGAGCTTATTACTACCATTTTTATTGTTGTGTCCAATTTCTAATTCAAATACAAATTTAATTAACTTCTCTGCTGTCCAAAGATGTAATTTTTAACAAGTAAAACTCATGAAAAATCAGCATGATCTACACTTTTTCTCTCACTATATTTACAAAGGTCTTTTTTCCTTAGGATACTTATTCAATAAAGACTTTTGTCAGTCTCCTTCAATCTATCTTTTTTTGTGTATGTGGCCCATCTTCATCCTTTACAGTGAGAAACATTTTGATTCATTTTTATGAGGCTAACTTTAGACCTAGGACATTAATGATACCAATTGTTCTTTGCCTTATTTTGGCATAGATCCAATTTCCCAACCTGTATCCAAGGGAAATATTCCATCTTGAGAGCAGATGTTATTATTTCCACTTATGGAGTATCTAGCTTCTGGCCATGCAATGTTAAATTCATCATTTAAGAAAATGATGTTCAAGAGGGCAACAATTTCTATATATTAATAATAAAATGATATATTATCCGTAATAGTAACTATCATTATTGAACACATTATATTCTAGCAACTGGGAAAAATAATTTACATATGTTATCTCAATTAAAACTTCTAATGGTCATTAAAATCCTTATCTATGAAGATATCTTACCTATAGAGGTAAAATCTTTACCTGTGAAGAGGTCCAAGGTCATATAATTCAAAGGTGTTAGAGCCCAATTTGAACTCCAAAATTTCTGATTTTAAGCATTATGCTTCAAATCCGATTGTGGCCCTGTTCCCTCAGCTAAAATCTGTCAGTGATGTTGCCCTCCTGGCACGGCCTTGCCTTTCTGCCCAGACACTGTTCATGAACCAGTTTTACTAAGGCATAGGAAAGAATTTGAGTAATAGCCATTATCAGGAGCAAGAAGAAACTAATATGGAAAGAGTATTTTCACGAGAGAGTCACTGTTACCAGCATCTCATTTGAGCACTTTCAATGGGTCTCTTTTAAGTCTTGCCTGATCCATGTGGTGCCAGCTATTGAGGAGTTAAGTAACTTGCTTAAGATCACATGGAGAATAGGAAGCAGTGCAGGGATACATGTGACTTATAGGAGATCTAGTCTTTGATCCCAATCACCAGCGAATGGTGTGCTTATTGTTAAAGGTGACTTGAATCATTTTAAAAGTTATTTACCAGTATCCTAAACTTTCCAAAGATGCATTCTTTGCAGCCATTACAATTTTTCTCCTCTTCATTCTTGTGGCCATGTTTCCTCTTTTTAGTAGCTCACTTCTTTCTAGGGGCCAATCAGATGATGCACTATAAAAAAAAAAAATCACAAAGGCTAAAAGCATTTGTGTCTTTGCACTGCCTGCTGTAATAGTGCCCAGGGGTGATGTGTCTTTGAAGAAGCAAGGTCTTGGTAAGTAATTGGGGTTTCTTTTTTTCCCATTAAGTAAACACTGTTTTCTGATTTGGTTTACTTTAGTAGAGATTCATTATCTCACAGGAAATTTTAGATTCTTATAAAAATATATCATACCTGTATTGACTCTTTAATTATCTAACCCTACTAAGCTGTTAAATTGGTAATTATTTTTTTTTCACACATATTTACTTTATACCTACTAGGTCCTGTTACGGAAGTGAAAACTGACATATATGTCACCAGCTTTGGACCTGTATCTGATGTTGAAATGGTAGGTATTTGGGAAGCAGTGTACCTTTTGGGGTTTGGAGAAACATGTCAGAAAAGAGACAATTAAAATTTATCTTATTGTCAGTCACACAAAGTTAGAAATTCAAAGAATAACCAAATTAAACTTAAAAGTTTACAAAGAGTAGGACACTGAATTTGCATTTCAGCTCCAACTTTTGAGTGTTGATTGATTTTAAAGTCATTCTCAACAAGAGAACTTTTCTATTACTAGTTGCAAAGTACAACTTTGTATATAGTTTTTTTTCCTCTTTAGAAAACTATTGAGGAAGAGAAAATTAGAGGTTATAATTAGTTTGGGTGTGAGCTAAGTGCATACACTATATTGTAGTCCTGATTGCACTTGGTATTTTATGTGCAGTTCCTTGCTGCCCACTCTTCCCTTCTCTTTCTCCCTTGCTCTCATGCCTAAAGAGGCTAGAATATGAGTATTGGTCAGGAGGAATTTGTTCATCCAACTGTGCTATTTTATATTAAATATATTTACTTAGCAGGACAGAGGACCTCCTTCATTTTTTTTCCTGACCCTGTCCTCGGAATGATTTAAAATGGTTGGGTTATTTGACAAATTGTGATAAACTTTATGAAAACACAATTTATCTATTTTGCTTTGTCTTAAAAATGCCTACCATCTTATGATTAATCATATAAAGATATTTGTTATCCATTAACTGATTTTTGCTATCTGGTCTAAAGTGAAGCCCAAGCCTAATTACGTGGAGCTGGCATTTTTATTGAAAGATGGTCATTATTATGAAATGATTAATATGTGTGGTAACTTATTTTCTATGAGCATAGAAGATGAAGGGAGCCAGATGGACATCAGATACTGTAATTACTGAGAATCTTTTTACTCTATTGATCTAAGATAATTTATACTTCTATTAATTTCATTTGGGAAAGCCTTTTCTATGAGTGGGAAGAGGCTAGAACTTAATGCATTTTTCTGTATGTACATGTGTAGCTCTCTGTGATCTGAAGATGTCACAAACTCATTTCCCCAGGAATACACCATGGATGTGTTCTTCAGGCAGACGTGGATTGACAAAAGGCTAAAGTATGATGGCCCCATTGAAATTCTGAGGTTGAACAATATGATGGTAACAAAAGTATGGACCCCTGATACTTTCTTCAGGAATGGAAAGAAATCTGTCTCACATAATATGACAGCTCCAAATAAGCTTTTTAGAATTATGAGAAATGGCACTATTTTATATACAATGAGGTAATCAATTTTTTCTTTTTCCTTCTGTTTAGCCTTTCTTCCCTCCCCACTTTTATTCCTTTTTTCCCCTCTTTCTTTCATTTTAGAGATATATAGAATTAATTTTAATAAAGGGTTGATTTTATTTAATTGCATTTTTCCATCGTAGACTCACCATAAGTGCGGAGTGCCCCATGAGATTGGTGGATTTTCCCATGGATGGTCATGCTTGCCCTCTAAAATTCGGGAGTTGTAAGTTACAAATGAAAGTGTTTGAGTTTCTGATTATCTCACACAAGTTGATATGTGTTTGTGTGTGTGTGTGTGTGTGCTTATGTATGCCTGTGATTTTCTCATAATATAGCATTTAAATCATTATCCATGAAAAAAAAATTGTGCAAGCTTTGATTTTTAGGAGTCTGTTAGCTAGTATTTTATGTAAAGAATTAAAACTTCTCTTTTCTTTCCCCAGGTCAAAAACCTACTTGTACAGATAACTTGAATAGATTAATTGATTGAGTCATAATTAATAGGGTGGTGGTCAGTGTTAGGGACCTCTGAACTTTACATGTTGGTGGTATAACATAGAAAGTACAAATGATTTTCTTTATAATTTAATAGTTGCTGTTGTTGGCAGAGTTGTTAGGTTGTTTATAGCCGACTTAGTAAAAGCCCAAAGAAGACTCATGACTTCCTGGCATGACATCAGTTAAAACAAAAGCAGCCCTATCAATGGCTGAAGCAGGACACAAGAATCATAGGAGATGCAAGGGCAGGGCTGGGGTGGAGTTGGTGGGGTGGGTGGAGATGGTGGGGTGGGTGGTCCAGAGATTATAGTGCCTTCTAGACCACATTAAGGAGTTTGAATTCTATTTGAAAGCTTGGAGCCAGGAGTTTTGAAAGATTTATAAAGGGGTAAATCTTTGATTGACATTTCATAATTTCTTACTTTAGTTCTCCTGCCGAGAATGGGTTATAGAGATGCTGGAATGGAAGCAGGAGAGTTGGAGTATGTTGTTTTAATACAAGCAAAAATGATGATGGATTAGGCTAGGATGGTATTAGAGGAGTGACTGTGAAATAGATGTGTCTGGGAAATTTTGTGGAGATGAAGGCAAAAGGATGAGATGAATGGATAGGAAGGAATATAAGATTCCTTTCTTTGAGCTCCCTTCTCTGAGATGGTAACAAAATGTGATTGCTCTTCTAAGGTCTGCCTCAAACATTTGATTCAATCAGAATCTACCAAAAATAGATGCTGGCTTTTACTATTGCTTCAGACTCTTAGTTGCACTGATTGTGAAACTTGCCTGCTGTTATCATTGCTCATTGCTTAACTTAATGAGAATCGGCAGTCACCATTCTTTTTATAACCCTAGTAATCACAATATTCAGTGGGCTAACTTGAAGCTAAAGAAAGTCATTTGTTCACTGACCAATGATTTAATGAGAGAAGATAAAAACAGAAAAATACACATAAAGGGTGATCTCACTATAGTTGGAATTAAGATCCCTTTGTAGTATAAAAATTTAAATTTTATACAAGCTATTTTTTATTTAGAAGAAGTATTTTCCATCTGCCACCCCCTCTAGTTCTCGTATAAAGCACTTTTCCGAGTGACCTGAACGTAGTTGGTGATCAATCATGCTTTGTATAAAACTAAAGAAATCATACACTAGTGGTTGATGTTTGGGGGCAGGGAATTTAAAAAAAAAAAAAAAGAGGCACATCATACTTAGCAAGTTAAGGCCTTACATTTTCTGGAAAGAGAAAAAGAGCACTTAACTATGTTTATAATTCAGAGGAAAGAGAGAAACCAGGAAGGAAGGCTCTTCTAGTAAGATAGGATAGCTAAGAGAATACCTGATTTAAAACATCATCTGTAGAACATCATGTACAGGGCTTTAAATATCTGACAAAGCATGAATATTTAGTAGATAAATGCTGACATATTACTGGATAATGCTAAATGATACCACAGCCTCAGAGTATGTTTTGCAAAATGGCTTTTAAGGAGAATCTGTCTAGGTATGGACTCCCTTTGTAGAATTACACAATTCCCCAAGACCTCCTGTGTTCTAGCCATTTTAGGAAGGTTGGGTTGGTGGTGGTGGGGAATGGCACATGATTCATTTTGGTTCTTTTGAACTTATTTGTGTGTGAGCCAAGCTATCTGTTCTGGGTAGACTGGTAAGCAAGCAGCTGGTCTCCATTTGCACTGAGCACCGAATAATAGAAAATGGGCTTAAATTGCTGCTGGGAAGAATTTGTTGAAGATAGAAGGGGAAATGTCCTGATTATAAGAGTTTAAAGGTAGTGGAACTGGTTGTGTAATTATATTCCCCAGAGAGCTTTACAAACAGCATAGCCAGTTGTCACTGTAGAATGGTTTCCAAAGAGCATGGTATTACCCAGAGGCAGAGTCTAGAAGAGGTGACCCCTAGTGAGCTCCTGACCAGTAGAATTTGTTTTTGTTTTGTTGTTGTGTTATTAGAGGCAGCTTCTGATACATTTGAAAATGGCAGAGGTGTATTAGAATGGAAGAAGTCAGTGTTGATCAAGCACTGGAAGAGAGAAGTGCAAGATGCAGGGGTTTGGCAGTACCCTATTGGGAGTTTAATAATCTGCTCTTTAGCTGCTTATCTTATTAGCTTGGGAACACATCCAAATGTTTTAATGCATATGGCCTTGTAGAAACCTCAGTTTTTGTCTCTTCCTCTTCTAGTTGTTTGGCACAAAAACAGTGAATCCTGCTGATTTGTAATGCTTTTTGTTTAATATCTATAGATTTCTAAATTGCAGCATGTTTGAGTAAAATGAGTTGAGAGAACATTGTTTTCATTTACCCCATCTTTCTTGAACACATGTCATGTTTTTAAGTGTTGACCACCAATGCCCATAAAAGAGAACCCTGACAGTAACCACATTCTCTGCTCTCATTCAGATGCATATCCGAAGAGTGAGATGATTTACACATGGACAAAAGGTCCAGAGAAATCAGTGGAAGTGCCAAAGGAGTCTTCCAGCTTAGTTCAGTATGATCTGATTGGGCAAACTGTATCAAGTGAGACTATCAAATCCATTACAGGTGAGAAGTTTAATGGTTAAAGCCAATATGCTATGTAACATCAGCAGTAGAGTTTTGTCCTGGCTTCATTGAAACATCTAGTGTTTTCACGAGAACAACAAAAATTTTCCAGAAATAGAGTTGATGCATAAACCATAGCTCAGAATTTCTTTATTTATATTTATCATCTTATTTCAGTTTAAAATAAATTCTGAGTTGGTGAAATGTGAGAAGTGAGTTGGTTTTCTTATTCAGAAACAGAAGTCAGTAATCAAGTATATTAAAACTATTTTCAACAAAATCATGAGGCAATAAGTCAGTCTGATCCTTCTGGTTTTGGTGCTTTCCAAAAATCTCTCTCTTTTTTTTAATGTTGCCCAAGTTTATTATGTCACCTTCCCCCTTTTTCCCCAAAGGAAAAGCAAAATCTAAATCTTAATTTCAAAACATTAAAAGAAACTAAAATTGTCCTACAAGTGGATGGATGTCTGTTATTGATGATTCTTTGTCTTCAGAAAATGAATGGAAAGATTGCAGGATTTAGTTCTTATCATATTTAGTGGGGAAGATCTAATTATTGCTTCTTCTAGAACTCTTTCTTATATACACATATAAAGGGGAAAATGTTTTATCATTTTTGTCTAGTACATTTTTGTGCTGCTATAATAAAATGTCATGAACTTGGAAGCTATAAAGAGCAGAAATTTGTTTCTCACAATTCTGGAGGGTGAGAAGTGTGTGATTAAAGTGCCATCAGATTCACTGTCAGGTGAGAGCTTGTTTCCTGGTTCATAGAATAGAAGAGAGGAGGGGCTCACACCAGGAACTTCTTTTATAAGGGTAATAACCCCTTGCATGAGGCCCCACCTTCATGATCCCAAAGCACTACACTGTGATTATCTCCTCATTGATGATTAATTAGGTTTTAACATAAGAATTTTGGGGGTTAAATATTCAGGCCATAGCAATAGTTAAAATTCATTCAGCAGATACCTTCTTATAGGCTTCATCATGAATTCTTTCCATGTATTGACTCACTTAGTTCTCATAGCCACTCCATGAAATGAATACTATCACCAACTTCATTTTACTGATGAGGACTATGTAAATACAATGTATTTAAGTAACTTGCTTGAGTCATACAGCTATTAAATGGCAAAGCCAAAATTCAAACACAGGCATTCTGAGTTCCAAAAACCTTCTCAAAATGTGCTGAATGCCAAATCGGGATGTTAAAATTGCATTAGTGGGGGCAGGAATTGTGACTCAGTGGTAGAATGCTTGCTCGGCATGTGTGAGGCCCTGGGTTCGATCCTCAGCACTGCATATAAATAAATAAAATAAATAAAAGATCCGCTGACAAGTGAAAAATATTTTTAAAATTTTTGAATTAGTAGAAAATGAGTGGTTATTGTTAGATCTGGGACAAAATTGTGAAATGATAATGTACGTTTTGTTTTAAGAAAAAAGATAATAAATCAGTCATGTGAAGGCATGATGACTCTAGAATAGTTAAAAATCATAAAGGCAGGGAATGAAATGGTGGTTGCCAGGGCTTAGAGGGGAAAGACAAAATTCCCATGACTTTATCTTCCCAACCCTTGTCATGACGATCATTTCAGGGGATACCTTCTTCTCATCAATTATGAAACTATACAGTAGCCTTCTATCATGGCACTTTGCCCCTTGTCTGTCCAGGAGAAAAAACTCTTTTGATAGATATTTATGTTCTAATCTGAATGTCAAAGAGGCAAACTTTCAATTGTACAAGATAATAAATCCTAGAGATTGCCTGTACAGCCTAGTACCTATGATCAATTATACTGTAGTGAATGCTTAAGAATTTGCAAAGAGAATAGATAAAAGAGTTCTTTTCACACACACACATACACACAAAATATTGAATGAGATGATGGGAAGAAACTTTTGGAGATAGTGGATAGCTTTATGAAAGATTGTGGTGATGGTCTTATGAATGAATACTTATCTCCAAACTAATCAATCACATACATTAAATACATAGAGTTTTGCATTCCAATCATACCTCAATAAGGTGGTTTAAAAACTATGCAGTCAGGGCACTTTCCACTTATCTTTATAGGAAACAGAATTTTTTTTGAAAGATCTTCATGTTCTAATCTGCAAGGGGGGGTTAAAACACATCTGGAGATGTGAGATTTCTGAACCTTGGGCTTCACAGTCTGTGAATAAGGCTACTGCTTCCTAAATAACTTTCTTAATATGTCCTTTCAGGCGTGATGGTAAAAATATTCCTCAACAGCTACCAGAAATGTTAGGGTATGTTTCACTTACTAGTTTTTTAGGTTATGCCTCTATGCTATACATGTCTGTTTACATTTTTGTTTATATTTATAACATTTAGATATACAGGTCCTTCCTAAAATTAAGGCAGCCTTTCCCTTAGCTTGTATGTGTATATGTGTACGATACATATAAATGGAATATGTATATATATTTATATAGTTTATATATGAATGAAATCTATATATTTCATTTCTGTCCAAAATTAAGCTGTATATTTTCGTGTGTGTGTGTGTGTTTCCATTTTTTCCCTAGTGATTTTTTGTAAAAATTAGTTCTAAATTCTGCTCTCAAAAAATGGTGAAAATGAAAGCTAATTGCTTTAGCAGTAATAGGTCTTCAAAATAGAAAGCATTGCAAAAACTTTTAAAAATCATATCCCAATTTAGTAAATTACTTAGTCGCTACACAAAATAAAGTATTTTTCTGAATAATGGTTTTCTATATCATCCACTCTCCTGCCATGAGGAAACTTTGTACTTCTTGTTTGTATTATGCACAAAAGATAATTTCTTTGCTCAGAGTACTGTGTGTTAATCTGAAATACAATCATGAAGCCATTCAATAATTAACTGCAGAACCAATAATGCATTTTTTTCATGTTTTCTTGGCAGGTGAATACATTGTCATGACAGTTTATTTCCACCTAAGACGGAAGATGGGATATTTTATGATTCAGACTTATATTCCATGCATTATGACAGTGATTCTTTCTCAAGTTTCTTTCTGGATAAATAAGGAATCAGTTCCAGCGAGGACTGTATTTGGTAAGTGCAATTCATTTCTTGGCTGTTTTTGTCCACATTACATAATGACCACGATTCATAAGAAATATGAATAATAGTCTAAGAAAATGATAAACACAAATATATAAAACTTTACTGAATACAGAATCACATAAGCTTTTATTTTTATCTAGCCAATACAAAATAATAACGCTTGAGGAGATATGAGTAGTCTTTCACTTCCTCTGGGGCCACAATGGATTTCCCTTGTTGAGAATCAGTCAAATGAAGACCAACTGTGCACTGCATATAATTTCACTTTTGGTGATATTCTTGGGCTCCTAGCATAATGCTGTGTAATTGAATTAAAATTATATCTAGGTGTTAAAATGAAATGCACTAAGAGCTTAAAATAAAACAAATAAAAGTCATGGCTGAATGAATATGAAAGCCTTAGAATAACTTGTCTTTTAATGAAGAGGAACAAAATGCAATTGGTTTTACACTCATTGAATTGGAAGGTATTATGTGCTTAGTTTATAAGCTCATTATTATACTCTATCTACATAACATTTTTTTCTGAACCAACATTTTTTTTCTTTTTCTTTTAATTGTGGTTTCCTACATATAGGGTTCTTAACAATATGAAGTCCAGAACATGTGAGCTTAAACGATTTTGTACTTGTTAATACATCTTTTACAGATCAGTCATGCTTTTACATCATAAAATGATTTATAATTACATCTGTTTAATTTATATCTTTCTGTATTCTTTCTGTATTTATTGCGAGTAGCAAAAACATTCAGTGGTGGGATAAGAAGGAAAAAGATCAGAATGTCTCTGGAGTGAATATAGTCCTCACAAGAGATGAAGGTTTCCCTTTGCTTTTCTGTTTAGAAGCATCAAAGCTATCTGCAATATTCCTTCGCATCCAATAGTTGAAGAGATGTTGATAAGAGAGAACTGGAGGAAAGAATTGGAGCCTTTCATCCTACCTCTGCTGATAATGGTGTTTTAATGTCCTCAATGGACCTGAAATACTCCAACAGAGGTGTTTCCTCCATAGACAACCTCCTTCCTTTAATCTTAGGCTCACCTAAGAGGGTATTTGAGAAACTCATACTAATGTGGAGGCAGGGTGTGATCTCAGCAATACAGTGAGCAGGTATAATGGCACTATCTACTTCATAGAGTTATGGGTATTCAATTAACAAATAATTGCACATTCTAAGTGTGGAATAAATTTTAGCTATTAAATATAGGTATGAAAATGAAAGAGATAAAACAACATATCTAAGCATTGGATGCTAAGAGGTCATGGTTTAAATCTGCTACTTACTTTTTCCATCCAGAAAATTGTGTTAATACATCTCTCCCTCATAGACTAGAGGGAATTTAAAGAGTTATGAATAGTACCCAGTGTAGGACACGTGGAGCACATTCTGTGTGTTACTTTCTCTTTCCTATACCTCTCTTTCATAGGGGAGATTAAATTTTTTTCAGAATTGGTTGTACTGGTGTTTTAAAGAAAAAATTTACATTTCTAATGGGTACTACCAGGCATCCTGAAATTCTTAGGTCTTCATACAGTAAGCTCAGAGGCAACCTGACTGTGCAGGACCTGTCTACAAAGGCTGAGCATCAGATCCAAGTCCCTTAACTAATCCTACTACAAAAAATTAATAATTCAGGAGCTATAGTTATTAAAAAAAATTTTAAATTTGTTTCTATTAGGCTTTACAAATAAAGAAAGCAGTTGTATTCATATTATCATACTATTTTCTGTGGCCTTAAAGAACTAGAAAGAACTAGAGCAAAAATTACCATTTGTGATGAAGAGGTAATAGTGTCACAAGTGTAGACTTTGGTTCTACCCACAGGGTCTACTACTTACCAGCTATGAACTTTCAGTGAGCTACTTTTATATAACTCATGTTTCCTCATATGTTAAAAATGGACAAATGGCTGTACTTATCTCATAAGGATGCTGTGAGGATTAAATGAGTCAGTTTGAATAAGGCAGTTGAACTAATACCTCTCACACAATTTATACAGTTTAAGTTGTTTATACAGTTTAAGTTGTTTATTAGAGTGATATTCCACATTGCATCTCTGTCTTATCCAAGAATCACTGTTTGATTGGTTGATGAACTTTGTTTTCTTTATTGACTATAAACTGGCAGCTATTTTTCTGTCTCCATTGTCCCCAAATATTAGAAATCCCCAGTGATGGAGGGAGGAATAGCATTGTTTACAGTAATACTCACTCAGTGCTTTATATTTGAATACAATATTGGAAGGAAATGATGTAGTATGTTATGAAGGAATTAATATTACTATTACCAGTGATGAAAGGACTTGCCATATATGTTGAGATCATCTATTTTAACCTTCACAATAATTCTGCAAGATGGGCACTACTAATTTTTATAGATAAGGAAAATAGCTGTAACATATTAGGAAGCTTATATCAAGTTTCATAATTGTACGTGGTGGACACAGGATATTATCTAACTTTAAGAACTCAGTCACTCTCTATTCACAGTGATTAGGACTTTTCTTTTGAAATTTGTCCCTGTCTGTGTCCTGTGCCAGGATACTGCTTTTGACTGATCAAGAAAATTATGCCAATAATTATATGTTCGAAGACCTAAGATGCATTCGGATGGTAATTATTAGACTACTCAATGAGGATTTAGAATGGTATTTTCTTAGGGAAGTAAAGCTGTAAGTATTGGGGGGTATTACCAATCTATTTCATATGAGATTTAGGTGAACATTAATTCTGGGCTAGTTTTTTTCTTTTCTAAGTCTCGTTTCCCTCTTCACTCATAAGGAGAGAATTTGCTGAGTCAGAGTCAGCATTTGAAACCATGCAAAACCAAATCTCAGAAGAGCAGCATAACTCTGAGAAGCAGAACATGCTAAATTCTTCACAAAGGACTTCTATCTCCAAACTTGTATGACTCTTAAGTTTTCTAATTATTCCAGTATGGTAAAACATTAAACACAAGTAAATGCCAGCTGGCATATCTAAATCATTGCTATTTCATTTTCTAAGAATGGCCAGCCAAAATTTCACTCTAGTGTATAGTCTTAGTCTCCTCTTACATATCCTTTCCCAGCTCCTGGGCCAGACAATATGGTGCATATTCAGCATTCTAAATGCAAGGACTGGCATCAGTACTTGAATGTGTCAAAAAAAGTTATGGCTTTGAAAAGTCAGGAAGGCATTTACGACAAATTCTTGTACTTCTTTCTAGATGGAGAGGAATGGTGAATTCTTAACTGAAGGGCTGGTTTCTGTTTGCTGTTCTATTGGTGTCTAGTCAGTCAAATGCTGTATCTAAAGCCAGGGATAATAAATCATGCAAGTGCTTTCTTTAAATTTGAACACCTAGTAGAAATAACTTTTTAATGCCCAAAGTGGTGGAAACTTTTGAACATTTAGCCCTCTTTTTATGCCAGCTAATTTCATAATTTTGCCAACAGTCATAAAATAGGAACCATATTATCTGGAGGGCCATTGCATAAACTTGAAAATCAAGCTGATACAAAACACTGAAAGAGAAAAGAAAAGCAGCAGCATATACAGCTTTTTTATTTTTATTTTTATTTTTGGGTATTGGTATCCACAGCATCATTTATGTCATGAGCCTGGTGATCTATCCACTTCTAAAGAACTAGAATGAAATTTTTGGATTCTCACTTCAATAATTGCTTTAGTAACCTATTTATGAGACATTCAGAAGGGATTTTTTTCAAATGTCAGTAGGAGAACCTGAGGACCACTACTTCTGAGCCTCAGGAGAAATTTTTCTAAGTTAAAAAAAAAGTTTAAGTAGCATAGGGATTCTTAAGTTCTTTTTATTTGAATTTGAGTTTCTTTCTAGTTATCATATTAGAGTCTCTGTAGAATTTCTGAGTACTGAGTAGTATTCTTGTTTAGATTACACTCTTCATATTTTATTTCCAAGTGCTTTCATCATCATTTCTGTCACAATAGAAGAAACATACTACTCACATATCTCAGAAAGTTGGAGAACATTTTTGAATTCCTAATAGTCCATTACATTTAAGTCATATGGATAAGAAGAAACATTTTTGATTTAGTTTAAACTTTGAGGCTAAAGTTTTTCAAGGTTGTTTTAGGATTTATTCATATAGCTCACAGCCAGCAGCATTACAATGATGCCATTTTTCTGAGTCTGAGAATGGGGAACTAATTGTTTGAAACTCTTTCAGAAACAAAGCCCAATAAATTCACAGTATTTTATTTTCAAATATATGTAGATATATCTGACTGGGTAAACATTTGAACATTTATTTTAGACTGATGAAATGCTAAAAAAATCACAAAAATTCCAGATAAGGAACACTATCAAAATCTCAAATTTCTTTCTCTGTATAGTTTATAAGAATGTTTTTGAAAGCTCTATAGCTCATGTGCTGCACAGTTGCTCCAATTTTTCATGTCCTAAGTATTGAAGATTCAGAAGGAGACTGAAATTCAAAGAAAACGGATTGGTGAGGAATTGGAAAAAATGAGTTTTTATTTACTGTGCATTTAACCTGTGCCTGGCACGAGGTGGAATATTATGTTAATCCCTAAAGCTGTATTCAACATGTCTGCCGTCAACAAGAGAAATCAAGTAGGAAACAAGGTTTACATATGTGGAATAGTAAGGGAAATAGCACAAGACAGGGAATAATTAAGTGCTTAACTGAGGAGCCAGTATTGTCCACTCTCAATCAAAACATGGGTATTCCTTTATTGTCACATTGGTTCACTGTGTCTTCATTTGAACATGCATTATTTGCCTTTCAGCTGGGGTCTGCCATGGATTGGAATATACAGTTTAGATGCCTTCATCACTGTCGTCATCACTGCCATCACCACCACCACCATCATCATCCCCAGACACCTGGGTGTGTCAACTTTAGTACCTATCTTAGGCATTGTATAGAATGAGTTCAAATGGATGTAGTAAATCTTCACAGGAATTTCTAGGCTGAACTAGAAATATGGATTAGATAGACATAGTTGGAAAAGGGGACAACTATGGAAATATTTGTATCCTCGAATAATGCATTGCTCTATAGTATCAGTGGCAAGTGGAGTTTTTCTACTGAGAATGGTGACTGACTTGTCTCTAGGCTGAAGAGGATGTTTTCCTGGAGGTGGTATTTCAGAAGTCTGTTGAGGGAAGAGAAATACCTCTGTTCTTGTTGAAGATATTTTCCTGACAGCTATAACAGAGGAATGATGAGCATCCATGTTTTAGAGGTCAAATTGCTCTAGAAACCTATTTGTCTAGGAATATACTTTTATAGTTTTAGTAAATTAGGTTCCTGAACAACTGGTAAATTTATTATTTTAATTTCATAGATAATATTCAGTTGAAAATAAAGACATATATCATTTGTGCTTTTTCTGGCAGTAATTCCCAATAGCAGTGGATCATTCTTACCTAGGAAAGTCTGATGCTCCCATTTAGGAGTTTAGTGTTCTCAACGTGTCATGCCTGGTTGAGAGTCACTGCTTTAATAAATCACTCTTTTTGCAAGGTGTGTGTAGTGATTCCTTAGGTATATTGTCTCAAATTCCAGTAGCAACTCACTATGTGCTATGTCCTTCACATACTTTTAAATTTCATGTCAAATTCAGTAGGTATCAGTAGGACTCATTTTGTCCCAGCGTCTTAGATATCATATTTGCTCAATGTCCTGTGTATAGGATGGCTTATGTATGTAAAAGATGTAACATCAACACAATGTCTATGAATAGGAAAATCTATTTTCATTCTTAATAAGACTAAAGAATGTGTAAGTTCCATATTATGATTTCTATCCAGTTTTAATTCACTTTTGTCAATTTTATTGAAATATTTGCAGAATTGAAAACTTGGAACATAATGGGTTCCAAGACACATAGAGCAAATGATTAGAAGGGCCAGAAATTGAACCATATTTGTCTCTCACTTCAAACCTGTGCTGATTTCATTTGAACCACTAGAACTCAAATTCTCCATCAGTGATGATATTGTATGAGATGTTGTTAACCTTGTTCTTCTAATCCTTAGAGTTTATTTTTTGTTTTGTATTGAAATAACAGCAGTTTGCTTTATCTCTTTGCTTTTTTGCTTTAAAGGAATAACCACAGTCCTCACTATGACCACACTAAGCATCAGTGCAAGGCATTCTTTGCCCAAAGTGTCCTATGCTACTGCCATGGATTGGTTCATAGCTGTCTGCTTTGCTTTTGTATTTTCGGCCCTTATTGAGTTTGCTGCTGTCAATTATTTCACCAATATTCAAATGCAAAAAGCCAAAAAGAAGACATCCAAACCTCTTGCAGAAATTCCACCTGCTCCAGTACCGAAAGAAAAGCTTCCTGAAGTACCTCTGCAGGTATTTGGTTTAATCTCCTTTAGCCTAAGTTTTTAGCTTTTTTGATCAAATATGTGTCAGAACTTGAAATTTGAGTGACAATTTGTAAGTAACTTAAAAGTCCAGGAAAATATAAGAAAGTTGTTTATGAATTCAAAGTTTAAAACAGATTAATAGCTTAAAAATTAAACAGCTCTGAATGAGGCAGATATAATCAAAACTACTTTTTGTTTGAAAGTTCCTTTCAGAATGAAAGTTTCTCACAGAAAGAGGCAAAAGGTCATATGTACTGTTGTGAGTAACTTGTGGACATTGTTGATTGGTTTGCAAAGGCATTTTAGTGGACCTCATTGCACAAAGTAAAGCAATGGCTCATAATGTGACTCCAAGTGAGGACTATCTCCTGGGACTGGGAGGAACCTGTTCCCTGCTATTTAATAAGAAAACAAAGTCAACAAACAAGATACATAATTGTGGTTGATGTACATCCATAATTGAGAATTTTTAGCTCTAATGGGATATATTTAATAGAATGTAGAAAGCCTAATAAGAGCTACTATAATTTACATTTGACTAATCAGGATTCTGATTCAAGAAAAAATGATCATGGTTTTTTCCCACATGGTCTCTAACTGTATAAAAACAACAAACTCTTCATAAAAACAGGAAATATAATGGACATTCTCTTTCTCTCTCTTTTTCCTTCTGTTCCTCACCCTCCTGCTCCACTACTCTGCTTTCTCTCTTCTTCTTTGTCTCCATTTACTTTTCTTGAATAAGCAGAAAAATGTCTGTAGTCACCCATGCACAGCCTAATGTAGTTGCCACTAATGATCGTCTAAAAATCCTTTGATCTATATATACCCAAATCAAAGTGTGCAGAAATCATCAACTTTATTCTCTTCAAATGACAGCTCAGTCCTTTCTTCCTTCATTCACTTACCCACTCATTTGACAAATATATATTTAACACCAGCTGCCAATCAGACTCTGTTTGAGGGTCTAAGAATCATTAATATATCAAAATATCCCAACATATATCCTACAGAATGGAGTTTATGTTCATTTGTGTGAGGTGAGGGAGGGGAGGCAATTACAAAAAAAAAAAAAAAAAAGTAAAACAGGTAGTGATTTAGGTGTAGGTAGTGCTATGACAGATAGCATCACAGTACTACAGAGGCCAGGAAGTAGGGGTGCAGAGTGAGAGGCCTGGGATTTGACTCTCAGAGGGGAGAGGACAGTAGAACAAGTGAGGTTAGGTGCCCTCTGTGGCAGGGATTAACTGGTCAGAGTCCTGAAGTTCATAGCTATGTTCCTACAGGGTTCCTCATGCTGGGTCTCTAAGAATGGCATATAAGCAGGTAGAAAATTGAATGCTTTTCCACCAAGTTTACATAGCTGATCTTTTCTTCTAAGTGACTCTGTATCATCAAGATTTTCAAAATTATCAGAATGCATTTTGTATACTGTTTTCAGTTTTAAAATACTGTTTTTCAGTTTTCTTTGGTGGTTTTATTTTCTTTCCTATTTACCATGGGAAACTTATTGCCTCTCTGCCTTCTTTGTTATTTCATTTGTTTTGTTGTGTTGAAGCCCTGGCCAAAGAATCCTATTTATAGCTTCTTTAAAAGCATCATGCCTTTGATTTATTCATTTTATTGTTTCTGTTTACTTATTATCGATTCAAGATTTTATTTTAATTCCATTTTTCTTTGGGTTAATTATGCGTTTTTAGCTTCTTGAGTTTGCTTCTTGATAATTTATTTTCACTGTTTCTTATGTAATAATAAAGTTACTTTTACTGCAGTGAGATTCCTTTGTCTACAACTCTGCAAATAATCAATAATTTTGATTATATAATATATTTGTTAACTATTCTAGAATTATGTTGTTGCTTTACTTTTTGAGCAATAACATTTAAATTTCTAAGTGAGTTTTTCTCATTTATTTAATTTTGTGTCATAGTGCATATGTTCAGAAATATTGCATATGAAGATTTAAATATTAAAATATCTTCATTGTGCCCTGAGTCATGCTAAAAATTTATAATGTTTAAATTTAAAGGAGTTAATTTTTAGTTGTCAAATCAGTTTTACTTAAAGCACTACTTTTTACTGTGTGTGTGTGTGTGTGTGTGTGTGTGTGTGTGTGTGTTTGTGTGTGGTGCTGGGCCTTGGTCATGCTAGACAGTCACTCTACCACTGAGTTACATCTCCAGTTTTGATCTTAACATTTTTTATTTCATTCTTTTTTCATATTAACGTTTTATATTTATTATTATTACTATTATTGAACCCAGGGCCTTGTGCATGCCAGGCAAGCACTCTACCAAATGAGGTATATCCCCAGACCCCTATTTTTCACTTTTAATAAGTCACCTCTAGTCTTCAGTTTTTCAAATGCCAAGAAATATGTGAAAATTTTTCTTGTGAATTCTTGAATGTTTTGGGATTGCATTGACTTTTTTCCATTTGAACTGTTTTTGTTTTGCATATTTTAGTGCTATGACATCCAACATTTATAGATTCACAACTGCTGTTTCCCTATCAGTCCATGAGTACATCAAATACACTTTATATTTTTCTCTCATATAATACCCTTTCCCTCAAATACTATTTGGTCTGATTTTAATTTTTAAAATTTTCTTTCTATCTTTCTTTCTTCTTCTCCTTCTCCTCTTCCCTTCCTCCCCCTCTTCTCCCTGCTTTGCTTTTTGTTGTTGTGGTGGTGCTATGCATTGAATCCAGGGCCTTGGTCATGCTAGACAGTCACTCTACCACTGAGTTATACCTCCACTTTGATTTTAACATTTTTTATTTCATTCTTTTTTCATATTAACTTTTTATATTTATTATTATTATTATTATTATTACTATTATTATTTTGTTAAATTTTCCTTGTTCTTTTTCCCCCTCATGTATTCTGGAAGCTCTGTATCCTATTTTCATATGACTAGTTGTTAAACTTAAGTTTTAGAACAATATATTTCAACTTGTGAATTTCTCATAATGTTAAGTTATAAAATATACTGACTGTACCTTGTCACTATTACCTCCTTCAATTTCAAGATTGCTCTAGTTCTAAAGATTCTAGATTTGAAATGTATTTTTTATATGTAAATGTATAAACATCTGTGTTTATAATGAATTGATGTAGTTCCCTCTTTGTTTTTTCAAACTCTGATGAGACTTATTACACTGGTTCTATGATGAAATATTACAGATATTTCTCAAATAAGTAAATAGTAGTACACATTGGAACACATATTTGAATAAGCAATATGATGAAATATTACAAATATTTCTCAAATATCCCTTGTAATCAAAATAAAACTATTCTGCAGAATTTCCAAAGGTGTGTAAAGAAACAAATAACCTTCCATTTGCTCCCTGAAGCATATCCTTTGACTACAGCAATTGCTATAACTAGTAAATGTTTGATTGAACTCATCTGACTGGCTAAGTTCATTCTGATTCATTAGTTCCTTTCTGTAGCATGGTGCATATTCTGTGTGCACATGGCATATCCAAGGTCAAGAAGATGAGATGTGTTTGTGAAGGGCATAAAGTCATAACATTTATGAATTGGGAAGGACTTAAAAACTAGTCAGAATACTAATCACATGCTTCATGTCCTCTACATTGTGTGACTTTGTATGTGTTAGGGAAATTCACTTGATGAATATCTGTGTTCTAATAACAGTGATTAATGGGTTGCCCCCTCCCCAACTTCCTGAATCCAGCTCCTTTACAGAGAACAGCTGGCTTTAGAGTGTCAGTTGCCATTGAATGGCTTTAGTATCAAGTTCAAATTTGAAGGTTGAGAACACATTAAACATCAGGGGGAGACTATGGGAGATATAGTAAATAGGAAAAAAGAAATCAAGAAGGGAAATTTAATAAGAGCAAAATTTACAACATATTATGGAAAGGAAATATTATAAGAATCTGCCAAGGTTGAAGTTTCAGTAGAGACTAATCAGACTGTTAAAATTTGCTTGTTCAAATATGTGTTCCAATGTGTACTACTGTTTACTTATTTGAATGATACTGACTTTGCTTAAAATGTGTTTGAGCCCCTCATTTGGAATTGACTTCAGAGTTTAATGATATTTAGTAATTCAATAGTCCTTTGGGAAGCTCAGTAGTGGTTTGATTCATTGTCACCATATGTGACCTATGGACTGTTAATGACCTAGCAGAGGCTTATGGTGACCATTTCTATTCTCTGGGAATTGGAAGCTTATGGTTTATGGAATATTCATGAAATAGGAGAAGAGGCCAACTGGCAGGATGAAAGAGAATCTATCAGTAGTTTGAGTATGTTCTTGGATATCTCAGGAGGCAGAGCAGATGTTTTGTTTCTGCTCATTATTATCTTAGTTCTGCCTTTGAATATATCTCTAATACTTGAGTTGAACTCCATTCTTGTGGTTTTATTCTTCCAAACCCTTACTACTTCTTAAAATACCTTCTCTTCCACTGATGGAGGTGATTTGGATGAACAGAATGGTTTGAAAAATAAGTAACTGTAGAGCGTAAAAGAAAGCTGTCTTAATAAAATCACATTTTAAAAAATAACTTAAAAATATATTCTTTATCCTTTTTTGGCCACAAAGTGTGCAAAAAATCCAGTGATAACATTAATTGAACTCTTGTTTTGTGTTAGGTACTATGTGGTATGCTTACCCTGTGTTACTTAATTGCTAGCTCACAATGTCCTTTACAGATGAAGAAACTGAGGTCTGTAGTTTTAAATATACTCATGATAAAACAGCTAGAAAATGATAAACCTAATATTACAGTTAATTCAGCTTTGATTGCAGAGCTTGTTTTACCAAACTCTATATCATTTAATTTATGATCTCTCTATAAAGAATAGATATAAGAATGCAGGTGTGTATATATATAGATCTATATGTGTACATATGGTACATATATGTATAGATATAGATAGATAATGATCAGCCTAATACCGGGTCTTTTGTTCATATTCCTATGAATAATGAATAATAATAATTT